CCCATGTAATTGTAACCCCTCTGTACAGTATGTTCACAAAAAAAAGAAAACTTAAAAAAAATTACTGAGAAGAGGTAAAGAAGGTTGCTACATACTAATTAAGGGATCTCTCCTTCAGGAAGGTATTACAATTCTAAACCTCTATTCGCCAAACAACGAAGCACCCAAATTTATCCAAGAAACACTACTTTCCCTCAAATCTCACATAGATCAAAAGACATTAATTGTTGGGGACTTTAACACACCACTATCCCCACTACATAGATCAACTCAGGAAAAACTCAACAGAAAAACCGCAGGTCTAAACAACTGCATAGAACAACTAGATTTAACAGACATCTACTGAATATTTCACCCAGCAGCATTGGAATACACGTTTTTCTCAGCAGCACCTGGAACATTTTCCAAAATAGACCACATTTTAGGTCACAAAGCAAACTTGTCCAAGTTGAGAAACATTGAAGTAATACCTTGCATTTTCTCAGACAACAAGGGAATAAAATTAGAACTCAACACCAAAAGCCACCAAAGAAAGTCCTGTAACACATCAAGGCTGAACAACGTAGTGTTGAATCACCAATGGGTCATGGAAGAGATTAGAAAGGAAATTCAAATGTTCGTGGCATTCAACAAAAATGGACACACAAATTACCAGCTCCTCTGGGACACAACAAAGGCAGTACTCAGAGGCAAGTTTATAGCTCTGAGTTCCTACATCAACAAATTGGAGAGATCTGAAACCAACAGTTTAATGAGACAACTGAACTTCCTTGAAAAAGAGCAGCAAGGAAAATCTCAATCCAGTAGATGCAAAGAAATAATTAAAATTGAATCAGAATTAAATGAATTAGAACTCAAAGAAAACATAGAAAGAATCAACAAAACAAAGATTTGTTTCTTCGAAAAAAATAACCAATTTGACAGACCCTTAGCAAATTTTATCAGACAAAGAAGAGAACAGACCTAAATAAATAAATTCAGAGATGAGAATGGAAATATCACCACAGAAACAAACAAGATTCACAATATTATCAGGGAATAATTCTCAAACCTTTATGCTAATAAGTATGAGAACTGGCAGAAATGGACCTTTCCTAGCAAATATCAACATATTGAAACTAAACAAAGATGAGTTAAACCATCTTAACAGGCCCATAACAAGCACTGAAATAGAAACAGCAATGAGACTTCTCATCTAAGAAAAATGCAGGACCAGATGGATTTACAGTGGAATTCTATAAGGCCTTCAAAGCAGAGCTCACACCAATACTACTCAAATTTTCAATGAAATTGAAAGAGAAACTTCACTACTAAATTCATTCTATGAAGCCATCATAACACGCATCCCAAAACCAAGCAGAGACTCATCAAAGAAAGACAACTATAGACTCATTTCTTTGATGAACATTGATGCAAAATTCTCAACAGAATTTTGCCCAATCGATTTCAACAGTTCATCCAAAAAATGATGCACCACGAACAAACAACACTCATTTCAGAGATGCAAAGCTGGTTCAATATATGCAAATCAATTTATATTATTCATCACATCAACAAAAGCAAGATTAAGAACCATGTTGTTATCTCAATAGATGCAGAAAAAGCATCCAACACCCCTTTATGATGAAGGTTCTGGAAAAATTAGGAATTCATGAAACATTCCTCAATACTATAAAGGCAGTATATGACAAATCTAAAGCCAGCATTATACTTAATGGTGAAAAACTAAAGCCATTTCCTCTTAACTCAGGAACGAGACAAGGATGTCCATTCTCGCCACTTCTCTTCAATCTAGTATTAGAATGCCTAGCTACAGCAATAAGACAAAATGAAAACATAAAGGGGATCCAAATAGGGAAAGATGAAGTAAAACTCTCCCTCTTTGCAGATGACATGATCTTGTATTTAAAGAATCCCACAGACTCCACTCCCAAATTACTCAAGCTGATTCAAAACTTTGGCAAAGTAGCAGGCTATAAAATTAACCCTCCAAAATCAACGGCTTTTCTGTATGCCAACAATGAGAAAAGCATGGTTGAAATCAGGAAAGCAAAGCAGTGTGTAATATCTTCACAAAAAAATACCTAGGAATTAACCAAAGAAGTGAAGGACTTCTATGATAAATATTTAAAAACCTGAAAAAGGAAATCAAAACAGAACTTAGAAAGTGGAAAAAACCTCCCATGCTCCTGGATTGGAAGGATCAACTTAGTGAAAATGGCAATACTTCCCAAGGCTATCTATAAATTCAATGTGATACCTATCAATATTATAACCTCATTCTTCAAGGAAATAGAAGAGGCTATCCAAAAATTCATGTGGAACAATAAAAGACCGCGAATAGAAAAAACTCTTCTTCACAGAAAGAACAGTGGTGGAGGAATATCAATACCAAATTTCAAACTCTACTAAAAAGCCATAGTAATCAAAACAGCTTGGTACTGCCACAAGAACATAACTGAGGACCAATGGAATAGAATTGAAAACCCAGAAATGAATCCACAGACCTATAGATATCTAATCATTGATAAGGGAGCTAAAAAAAAATAGAATGGAAGAAAGACAGCCCCTTCAGTAAATGATTCAGGCAAAATTGGTTAATAACTTGTAGACAACCAAAGCTAGATCCTTATATATCACCCTGCACCAGAATCAATTCCAAATGAATCAAAGTCCTCAGAGTCAAAGCAGATACTCTAAAAACATTACAGGATGTAATAGGAGAAACCCTAGGTCTCCTTGGCACAGGCCGAAATTTTCTTAATAGAGACCCAGAAACACAACAAATCAAAGAAATGTTGGATTGCATGAAATTGCAGAGCTTCTGCATAGCAAAAGACATAGCTAGCAAGATCAAAAAAAAAAAAAAAAAACACAAATTGGGAGAAGATATTCACTGGCCAACAATGGACAAGGTTCTTACATCTAAAATATACCTGGAACTCAAAAAATTAAATCCCCCAACAACAAATCCTCAAAGAACAACTTCTCATTAAATAAGTGGGCTAACGACTTACATAGAAACTTCTCTGAAAAGGAAAGAAGGATGAACTATAGACACGTGCAGAAATTGCTCCAGGGCTGCTCTCTGTTAATAAACAAGTTTTCTACCTGCAAAACAAAAGAGAAAGAAATGCTCAAACTCCCTAGCCATAAAAAATGCAAATCAAAACAACATTGAGATACTACCTCACCCCAGTTAAAATGGCTGGGCATGAACTCTAATAACAACAGATGCTGGCGGGGATGTGGACAGAAGGGAACCCTACTGCATTGTTGGTGGGAGCGTAAACTTGTTCACCCACTTTGGAACGTAGTATGGAGGTTCTCAAAAGACTCCACTTAGAGCTCACCTATGACTCAGCAATCCCACTTTTGGATATTTACCAGAATGATCACAAACAGGACCATACGAAAGCTACCAGCACAACTATGTTTATTTTAGCATTATTTACTATAGCTAAGATATGGAACCAACTCAAATGTCCCTCAGTAGATGAATGGATAAAGAAAATGTGGTATAAATACACAATGTAATTCTATGCCTCCATCAGAAAGAATGACATTGCCTCATTTGTTAAGTGAAGTAAGCCAGGCCCAAAGAAACATAGGTCCGAGGGTTTCCCCTATTTTCAGTAACTAGTATATGTCTGAGCAAGCAGAAATGGTCAGATTAAGTTGATGTTAGGCTAAAAGAACCCCAAGATAAAGACTCAAAAATTTCTTTGTTGCTTTGTATGTCCCTCCCCCACAGTATAACCCCTGTTTTCACTGTATTTGATGTTGAAATAATTTGGGGAGGGGAAGGGAAAAAACAAATTGTTTAACTAGGGATACAGGTGAACCCATTGCAAAAATGAGCTTTACCAGACGTTATTTCAAAAAATGAGCTTTACAACTTTGGATGGGGGGTGGAGGAAAGGTGAGGTCAGGGATGGGAAGGGGAAATAAAGGAAGAGGCAACAATGATTGATAAGAAATGTACTCATTTCCTTGCCCATTTAATTGTAACCTCTCTGTGTGGTATTTTCACAATTAAATAAAAGGAAATAACAATCTTAAAAGGTAACCAATTCCTGCAACTATAGCACCTTGCAAGAGTTCCCTATAGACTACTAAAAATCAAATCAAAGCTATGAATTCTACAATTCTACCTTAACAGTTTTCAGAATAACGCATACAATAAATTTTATATTCTCAAAAAAATCACAAGGTACATTATAAATACAGTTTCCCTTCTTTGCAACAACTAGTATATGTCTAAGTCAAGCAGAAAAGGTCAGATAAGTTGATGTTAGGGGAATGAACCCCAAGATAAGTATTTAAATGTTTTTTCATACAATTGTTTCTAACATATTTATAAGATGATTTCTATGATGCTTTGTATGTCCCTCCCCCACTGTATAACCCCTGCTCTCACTGTATTTGATGTCGGTATAATTTGTGGAAGGGAAGGGCAAAAACAAATCGTTTAAATAGGGATACAGGTGGACCCATTGCAACAATGACATATACAAGTCGTTATGTCAAAAAACGAACTTTACAACTTTGGTGGGGGAGAGGGATCAGGTGGGGGGAGGTGGGTTGAATATGGGAAGGGATGGGAAGGGGAAACAATGAGGAGGCAACAATGCTTGGTAAGAAATGTACTCGTTATCTTGCCCATGTAATTGTAACTACTCTGTACGGTATTCTCATAATAAAAAAGAAATAATGAAAAATACGTTAGAAACAATAGCATGAAAGAAAAATATATATTTGAGTCCCTATAAGTCCTCAAAAGTGAACTACCGATACTAGTAAACGATGTGACCACAAGGTGGCAGTAAATTTCAGCTGATGCCCAATAGGCAGGGGGTTATTTCAGTGGATTCTAAAGGAGTAGGTTAAGGGTAAAACAAAGTCTTCTTATTGGCTGTGTAGACAATTCAAGAAACCACTCTAATTGAAAGAGAGAAAAGGAAACAATTTGATGACAGAAGTGGCTGTCCTTACTATAGATTATAAGTCTTCAAGTGATTGTAATTGGGAAGAAATATGAAGAGATTGATTCATGGTATATGCTTGCTCTTGTGGCTGCAGCTGAACTGTAAGTTGATTTGGGAAACCAGAGTACATTAATACTTGATGTTTAGACATCCAGGAGATCAGTTTATCTAGCCTGTCTGTACTTACTGTAGAAAAAGGCAGTCCTGAAGAGTACTGAGCTGACAACTGTCTCTGTTTTTTTTTTTTTTTTTTCTCCCATAGGGGTGAGTGAAGGAGAGAAACTGGAGCAGAGTCCGTCTATCCTGAGCATGCAGGAGGGAGACAGCTGTGTCATCAACTGTACTTATTCAGACAGTGCTTCAGACTACTTTGTTTGGTACAAGCAAGAGCCAGGACAAGGTCTTCAGCTCATTATAAACATTCGTTCAAATAGGGACAAAATTGAAAATGAAAAATTCCTTGTGTTTTTGAAAAAGAAGGACAAACACTTCTTCCTGCACATCAAAGATGCCCAGCCTGGGGACTCGGCTGTCTACTTCTGTGCAGCAAGAACACATTGCTCCCCAGGCACCTGCAGCCTGTCTTCAAACTTGCCACCAAGACTGGAGCTCCAGCCCATACTTTGCCACAGACCTTCTGGCATAGCATTTGACAATTGTTTACAAGTAGCAGCTAAACACAAACATTTAGGTCTAAGGAGACCCTGACAGGTGAAAACAAAAATAGAGTGATTGTTACTGAAGAGATTATTTTCCTATTTTATTTATTAGTAGCATACATACTACGAGGTGAAAAATGCATAGGGCTATTTTTGGGGATGGGACACAGGGCTTCCTTCCTCTTCTTCTCAAGTTATGCTAAATCCAAGTGTGTTCTTAGCTTCAGCAATCTTAAAGCTGCACTTAATGACTTCTTAGAAAAGTAATAAATAATGGTTCTTATTTTTGGTCAGTTGTGGGGCTTGAGCTTTGTGCTCAAGGCTAGTGCTCTACCATTTTGAGATGCAGCTTCACTTCAAATTTTCTAGTGGTTAACTGGAGATAAGTGGTCTCACAGACATTCCTGCCCAGGCTACATTCAAATCATGATAATCATATCTCTGCCTCCTAAGTAGCTAGGATTACAGATATAAGACATCAGTTCTGGGTATGATTGTGTGTGTGTGTGTGTGTGTGTGTGTGTGTGTGTGCTTGCATGCCAATTCTGGATCTTGAGCTTAGAGCCAGAGCACTGTCCCTGAGCTTTTGTACAGAAGGCTAACCATATGAATAAGAGTTCTATTTTCAGCTCTTTTGGTAGCTAAATGCCGATCAATGTCTCATGGATTTTCCTACACAGACTGGCTTTGAACCCTGATCCTCAAATCTCAGCCATCTGAGTATTACATGCATGATCCACTGGCAACCAGAGTGATGGTATCTTGGAATCCAGACATTTTCTGTGAGTTTACAATAACTATTCAAACTTCATACAAAAACTTTAATATCAATATCAACTTTCTCTTGTGCATGGAGTTTGAGTCTGTTGAAAGTTTCAGGTTACTTTATTGGATTATCTATTATATGCTAAATATGTTACATAAATAAAGCATCAAAATATAAAACTGAGAAGTCTGTATCCAGATTATCTGTTTGAACCATTTGATCAAGTGATACAACGAAGTTGGTATGCAACATCAACAAATTTAAAGATCTAATGTACAATACAAGGTTTACAGCTAGGAAAATTATATTGTTATAATTTTGCTCTAGTAAGTATTTTATAATACATCTAATATCAAATCTCAAAAAAGTAACTGACTGAAATGATAAACATGTAATAATCAATTTACTATCCATATTTATCCAATAACGTCATTGTAAGCCTCAAATAATTCATACTAAAATTTATTTTTAAAAGACCATTTCTTTCCATTCATCTATCTCAGTTGATCTTATTCAAAGATAATTAAATTTATTCCTTGAAAACCATCTTATATTTCTGGTATATATGAAAAGTTTTATGCATGTGTTTAGTACCTACATAACATGTATCATACTAGTGGATAACAAAAGGAAGTTGGACTAGTAGTTAATTTACAGATAGCTTGCTACCAATTTCCTGCTTTATCTTCAACTTTTTTGGGGAGGGCGGGGGTCCGGTCATGGGGCCTGAACTCGGCCTGGGCGCTGTCCCTCAGCTCTTCAGCTCAAGACTAGCACTCTACCACTTGAGCCACAGCGCCACTTCTGGTTTTTTTTCCCTGATTATGTGTTGCAGAGGAATTGAACCCAGGGCCTCATGCATGCAAGGCAAGCGCTCTACCCTTGAGCCACCTTCCCAGCCCTATCCTCAACTTTTGACTTATTATCCTAAATTTTCTTAAAAATGTGTATCTTCTAATGCTGTTGACAGATCATTGAAAATAAATAAGCTGTATAAATAATTAATTCTCTAATTATTTCTCCTCTGGTTAGATGTAGGCTTGGTTCAAGAGCTCCCACAATTGTTTAAGGATGAATATAATTGAACATTTGGTTGATTCTTTCTGGCTGAATTATGTATGTTAGTTATTGGTTAAGTGACTTACTCTTGTAATCAATGTCATTCACATATGGTAGTTTTCAAAGAAGAAATATCTAGCCAAACCTTCACCTGTTTTTTATATTTTTTATTGTAAAGATATTGTACAGAGGGGTTATAGTTACATGAGCAAGGTCCATTTCCTTTCGAGCACTGTTACCTCCTCCTTTGTTTTCCTCTTACTGTTCCTTCCCTCTACACCTCCCCAACTTCTCCCTCCCTCCCCAAAGTTGTAAAGTTCATTTTCAACATAGTGTCTTGTACATCTCACTGTTACCATGGGTCATCCTGTATCCTTATTTCAGCATTTTATTTCCCTTCCCCTCCCCAAATTAGAAAAAAAAACAAAATGCAAGTCACCTGAATCAAATACAGTGAAAACAGGAGTTACACCATGGGGGAAGAACATACAAAGAAACGAAAATTCACATAGTACATTATAAGTACATTAGAAACAACAGCAAGAAAGATAAAACTTCTTGTGTCACTATCTTGGGGTTCATTTCACTTAACATCATCTTATATAGTCATATGTACATAGCTTTTGACCTTTCCTACTTGTCCTAGACATACGCTAGTTATTGCAGATAAGGGATACCATTGCAGATAAGGGATACTATGTTTCTTTGGGCCTGGCTTACTTCACTTAATATAATTTTTTCCAAGTCTTTCCATTTCCTAACAAATTGGGTGATGTCATTCCTTCTGATGGTGGCATAGAATTGCATTGTGTATGCGTGTGTACATATATATATATGTAGCACATTCTCTTGACCTACCTGGTTTTTCTCATTTTACTCACTACACAACTAGCTCCTGGTCCTCAGAAGCAAGTCTGCTCTTTGTTTAGTTCTCCCAAGACTGATTAAAGTTGTGAGATGTAATCAGGGCTTGTAATTTATTGCTTTAGATCTTGGTTACAAAAGGAGGTGATAGAATTTTCATTGGCTTAACTCTGGATCTTATTATGGTGAGACTGGACATGATATAAGAAAAAATACAACACTCTATACCCCAAGTGTGCAGAGGCAGAATCCAGAGTCTGATGAACTACAGAGTCTGGACCTCAGATCAAAAATACATTTAAGCTTTAGATTCTTGCCATAGGACTGCTGCCATTTCTCAGTCTATAGCTGCATCACTCCCAGCTCTGCCTGCTTGTTAACACCAGTATCTCTTTTTCTGTTGTTATCAAGTCTCTCTTTCTAACCACAAGATTTCACTAAGGCTCTAGTAATCCAAGATAATCTTCTCATATCAGAACATTTAACTTAATTATATCTGCATATGAGTGACAATAATTCAGTGGAATAGAATCTGTTTTTCATAGGAAGCTGTAATTTTGCATACACTGTTAGCATCACTTTGGCTTTTATTTCTACATTGAGAAAATTATAATAGATTAGAGCTCAGTCAAAAAAAATCCAAACCAGCAGCCATAATTATCTTATTTTCTCGGAGTTCCTAATATTAGTTTCTAAATTACAGTAAAGAAAAACTAATACGTTAGACAAACAAGATAGACCTGAGCTTTATTCACATTTAATGGCTCCAAGATTAAGAGTGGGTTACTTTTTACCTAATGTGCAGGGACATGGAAACCGAAAAATCATTTTAAATGAAGTAAATCACATTCAGAGAGACAAAGGACACTTATTTCCTCTCATATGTGGAAGTTAGATCTCAATTACAACTATGTCTGTAGACATATGCAGTGGCATATACACATATTCACTAAAGTATTGTCTATACAGGGTAGAATTCCAAAGGTATAACACTAGAATAATTGAATAATTAACTTACAGGTTAACAACAAGAATACCAGGAAGCTGGGACTTGTGTTGTCAGTAGTATGCGGGGGAGCGAGGTCAAATGGAAGTAGAGCAGACAAATGAAGAGAAAAAAGGTAGGTAAACGTACTCCTAAATCCAATGTACATATATGAAAATAGAACTATGTAACTTGAGAGAATGGTGGTGTTAGGAGAAAGGAAGGAGAATTATAAAAGAAGTGACATTGATCAAGATGAATTTTACTAATAAACTGTAATGTTGAATTGAATATTCTTTGTACAACTTCTTAAAAATGAAAAAAAAATTGGAAGAGTGATTTAAGTCTAAAAACACTTGGATTGGTTGAAATGTTCAGGCAGCACTTCCACTAGGAAGTCTCTGTTTCCTGTTTTCCTGTAGCAGCAACACATTGAGGGTAGCTCAGATCTCAGAGCCCAAAAGGTAGAGATAGAACACATTTCACATTAGAGGAAGAACACACATGTGGTTCACCAGATGCTGAAGGTGGTCATGGATTTTACGTGGCTGATAGGGGTGGGGCATTGCAAATGGCCCTTCTGCATGCCCTGAGCACTAGGAAGAGGAAATGTATTATGGGGACCTTGGGGGAAAAAGGGGTAACAGGAGGCAAAAGTGCAATTTCTTTGATCCATATCATTTACTCCTAAACTTGATTTCTTTTATTCCCTTTTCTTTTTTTTTCCTTTTTACAAGTGCATGTGTTTATGTGTGTGTGCATGATTATGCGTACATGCCAGTACTCAAGTTTTAACTCAAGGCTTCTCATTTTCCATTAGTTATTCCATTCAAGGTTGGAACACTATAAGTTGGATCACATCTGTACTAGATTTTTGCTTGTCTGTGCTGGCTTACAACCACAGTCCTCAGGTCTCAGCCTCTGAGTAACTAGATTTATAGGCATGAGCTTCCAGTACTGAGCTCCACTACACTTTCTGATTGTATTTTTTCCCTCACTGTTCATTTTTACCCAGAAGGTAACTCGGGTCCAACAAGCAATGTCAAGCAAGAAAAAGTGACTTTGGTCTTGTACTGTACCTATGATATGAGAGTGGGTAATTATAGTCTTCTGCTACTAGAAACCCAGCAAAGAGAATAGTACTTTCCTTGTTCTCTAGTACTCTTACAGCCAACAAAACACAAGAGCAGGTTACTATTCACTGATATTATAGAAGGCAAACATCGTCCAAGCTTGTCACCTCAGCTTCACGGCTGAAGGATTCCACTGCATATTTCTGTGCATTGAACAATACACAGTGAGAGGAATTTTGTAGAGAGGTGCACAACAAAACTCAGGGGTTGCCTGACATCCACCTGCTGTAGGGTACAAGGAAAAAGAATACCACTTTCTCAGACAGAAGGTGCCAAGACTGTAGTATAGGTGCTGCAGTTGAGAAAAAACTATCACAATAAGAAAATATGTCTCCAGATTCATAGGTCAAATCTAAAATTATTAAAATCTAGAATCATTAAAAATTGTATCCTTGAATATTTGAAGTTAAATATATAGTTCTGGATGGAGGACTGAAAACCAAGAGTAGCTGTAAAGGCAATGTGCCATTTTGCCTTCCAATTAATCTAGAAGACTTGGCTAAGAAAGGTCAGAAATACAGCCCAAAAAAGAGCAAAAATTGCATGCATTGTTGGTTTTGAGTTGATCTAACCCCACCTAGAACATACTGAATAAATGATGTGTAACACCCATGGTTTTAAATAAAGATGGATTTTCAATATTTTACTACATTTCTTATTTTAGCACCATCATGTTAGTCCTGGGCTATCAAGAGGTGGATACAGAATGATCACCAATTCAAGCTAAGCTTGCAAAAAAATTAGTAAAAGTCTGTCTCTTAACCAACATACCAAAACAAAATGGCTAAGGGTTTAGGTTGAGATGTAGATTGTTTGCCTAGTATATGCCAAGTCCTATTATTTGAAAACAAACAATAAATAGGCATACTATGTGAACTGACCCATGCTCAGGCTACATTCTTTTTTTTTTTAATTTTATTTTATTTTATTTGAGAACATACTGTACAGAGGGGTTACAATTACATGGGCAGGAAAATGCATACATTTCTTACCAAGCATTGCAGCCTACTCCTTTGTTTACCCTTCACCTCCCTTCCCAGCTTCCCCCCTCCCCCCCACCCAATCATACCCCCCCTCCCCCCCCACCGACATTGATCACAAACAAGGCCACACTAAAGTTACCAGCACAACTATGTTTATTGCAGCATTATTTACCATAGCTAAGATATGGAACCAACCCAGATGCCCCTCAGTAGATGAATG